ATACTGTGTATTTTGAACAGAAATTATATTGTTTAAAATGGAATTTTTTAAATTTTTCTAACATAGTTGATTAACGCTGTTTTTAGTAACTTTCATCACAATTTAATTCTCTCTATTAAAAACCTTCCAAAAATAAAATATATTTTTCTGAAATTTTATTTTAGGAATTTTAGCTTATTTAAAGTATAGTTAATCTGATTTGGAAAAAAAATATTATTTAATCTAAGTTTAACATAACCCAGAGCTGTATTTTTAAAACAAAGCAGTAGCTGTGTTTTTAATCGACATGGCTATGTTTTACATCATTGACGAGGCGATGAAAGGTGATCTCATAATGATTGTTGTTTCACGGAGACTTTATCTGTAAAGCATAATTTAAGAAAATGATGTAAGCGCCTTTTTTATATAATTTTTAATACTCAGTAATCTTAAAGATTTTAGAAAATATTTTGCGGAATCTAATTTTAGGAATGTTAACTTTAAATTTACTATAGTCACCGCTCTTTTCTAATTATGTTGTGTATGGTCAACTAGACTTTACAAAATGGGAACGGTACATACTATTTTATTTACATAAAAATATCAAAAATTATTTTACAACTCTAAGTGCAAAATGACTTGTATTAAGCTTTTTAGTTTTTGATTAGTAAATATATTTTTCACTTAATAACAATATCATCTAACCGGATGAAAGTAATGCAGAATTTAAAAGATCTATGTATTATGAATTATTTGAATTAAAATTTTAAAAAATGAAAGCAATTCTAGCAAAAATTCATTATTCATTGAATTTTTTTCTTAAGACAATAGAGTCCTTAATAAATCTTATTTGTAACAGCAAGTAAAAACTTTTCTAATCTAATAATTTCATAGTTTTATTGCATGTTTATTTTACGATTCGGGGCAGATTTTCGAGAAAAGTAATTTGAAAAAAATAAAAATAAAAATAACAACTCATTTACATTCGAAGTAGTCTTGCTTTTTACTAATCAAATAATTTTCAAATGAAAATTTAATTTCTCGAAATTTTCCCCAAATTAACTAAGTGTTGGGTAACATATGTAAAAAAAATATTTATACCAATATTTTCCAAAAAGAAACAAATTAAAAATAATTTCATTCAAAATAATTCTGAATAACTCTTAAAAGTTTCATTAAAATTCGACAATTATTTGATTTTTGCAAGAATTTCCAAGTCAATGTGTTTTTCGCCGGACAAAAGGCGCTAAATGCCTAATCGTAAACATTACGTCGACAGCTGACGCAAACAAAAAAGATTGTTAAACAAAATTCCAAACCTGCTAGAAAGGATTAAAAAATTTAATGAAATAATAAAAAAAAATATCTGGCCTTTCCTCTTAATAATAACATAAACAGTTTGACGATAAAACTTTGTTTTTATTAAGTTTGGTGTCTTTTTTCATTACGTTATACAGTTTTTTTGTTTTCAGCGAAAAAGTTGTAGTACATAGTTTACTGGATCGCCTTCATGACCTGTGGCAATATCGCAGACTGGAGATTTTATAGTCTTCTTTCATGATTTGTTTTCTTCTTGTCGCGCTTCCATGTAGGTCAGATTTGTGGGGTACATAACTAAACGTTGCCCAGTAGACATATTCTTCCACCTGAGCTGTGGATTGCTGCAGCTCCTCCAGAGTTAACATAGGCCTCTTGGTTGCTAATCTGATTACTGCTCTCCTTCTCATCCTGTCAGTTTAGATGAATGACATTTGAGTTGGCAGTTTTTGCAGTGGTACTATACTCTTTCATTTTTCCGAGTATAAATTTAATACTGCCCCCTGAGATACTGAAAAACTGGGTTATTTCTTATAAACTAACCATTTTCTATACATTTCCCCAACTTTACCTCTGACCTATCTGGTCAGGTCCTTGATCTTCACAATGCTGTTTCTTTAGTAATAATCTCTAATAAAGGTCTCGGATTTTAAAATCCCAGATTTCGAAATCCTGAAATTTAAAATCTCGAATGATCAGAATACCGATTTTATAAAATCCCAAAAGATCAGAATCCCGAAATTTAATATCCTGGAAGATGAGAATTTCGAAAAATAGACTTTGGGAGAAATTTAAAAAAAAAATAATTTAGAAATACCTTTATTTCTAAACATTTACAAAAATAGCATTTAAATAGTGTTTATATATCTGAAACATTAGAAATTCCTTAAAATATATAAAACAAGAATATGGCACGACGGGGAAATTATTAGGCAATGCTCATATCGCTTCATCGGATAGTTTAAAAAACTGCAGCAGCACGTCGAAAATGAAGGAGAACATATTCTCCGAGGAGAGACTTGTCTAAAAAGAAATGTGTTTTATCGTGATGAAAAGCTTAAAAATATAGTTTACGATCGTGAAAACCCACCAGATCATATGGACTAGCTTAGGGTTTTTGCTCATAATCTTTCATTATAAATTATTCATGTATTCTGGTTTTATATTTTTAATGCATTTTGAATATTTCAAATGAATAAACACTATTTAAACGCTATTTTGTAAATGTTTAGAAATAAAGGTATTTCCATTTTATTTTTTTTTTTTTTTTCAAATTCTTCCAAAGACTATTTTTCTAGATTCTGATCTTTAAGGAATTTAAATTTCAGAATTTTGATCTTTCGGGCTTTTGTCAATTTCGGGATTTTAAATTTCAGATTTACGGCATTCGGAATTTTAAGGTTCGGGATTATAACCAAAAGCCCTCTTACAAAACTTCAAAGTACAGGTCTAGTAAATTGGAGAGTGCAGAATCAAGGGCCGTAACTCTTTTTCCATTTTGTCCTTTACTTTAATTAAAGGCATGTGCCTGTTTTAATAAAATGGATTTAGTTTCGTTTATGTGAGCCATTTCTTTCCATACTCTTGCCGCCTCGATGCTACGGAATATTATAATTAGCTGTAATTATGGTTTCAACAGGACTAATGGTACACTTGTAGAAAGCGTGAATGAAAATATACATTTATAATCTGACAAAATGAGAACTTTACAATACCCCAAATTAGCCAAAGACATACAGGTATATGTAAATTTGTAACGTGACAAAATGGAGAAAATTTCAAAAGGAAAGAAAACTTCTTCAAGGAAATATATATATATATATATATATATATATATATATATATATATATATATAATAAAAAGGCTTAAACACTAATATTCCATGGTCATAATTTATTCCATTGGAATCGTAAATACGATCCAATTCATCACACCTACAAATTAAAAAAAAAAACAGAAAAAAACACTAATATATTTACCACTAAAAACAGAAAAGAAAAACACTAATATATTTACCACTAATATTATCTATCTATCTATCTATCTATCTATCTATCTATCTATGTATATATTGAGCACTCTTTTAAGAATAGTAATTGTTGGTTATTGGAATTTATTATGTATACACAAATCCTATACTTGTTATATATATATATATATATATATATATATATATATATATATATATATATATATATATATGTTTCTTTAAAACGACAATGTACTATGGTTAAGCTTTTTATTTAATTTTTCTTGTGTTCGAACAAGAGCTTTCTTTTTTGGACACAGTGTGTGTAGAAACTGTTCAAATAGTCTATATTTCCGAGCGCTTTCGACTATACTTTTAGCCATTATCAAGGATAATTTTCTCTGTGTGTTTAAACAGATTCTAACAGAGCTGTGGTCAGATAGGTGCAACGTAATGCGTGTCGATAGCAATGTAGTCGTGTGACCGATATAATTATTTATGAGTTTGGCTTGGTCAGGAACACAGTTTCTTAAGGAACATTTGAACTCAGATAAAGTTAGTTCATTGTAATTTTGACTTATCTGGTGTGTTGTTATTTTTGAGGATTAGGTTAGCTGTCTTAAATTTTTTATAGTAGAAAATTAATTTGATTTTTTTATTCAGGTCAATTGGGGTAGTGTATTTCTATATGATATTTCTAAGTGAAGATTCATCATGTTTGTAGTTAATGCGCATTTGGATTTTGTAGAAAATATTTATGCAATCTATGACTGTATGTTGACTATCATTGCTATTTACTTTGTGGAGAAACAGTCTAATTTTGTGGTCCATAAGTGTGATACCATAATACGTATTCTGTGTAATAGACTCTCCCACAGATAATAAGTAGTAGTAGCAGTGGCCAGTCGGGCTCAGTGGTGTTGAGTGAGTCAGTCGATGTCGGACATTGAAGTATCAACCATCACAACTAGATTGCTGCGTCATAAACTCTTATTTCAAGTTCTTAACGTTTTGTATGTCGAACCTAATTTAGGACGACTTATTGAAATACAAGCCTCCACTGTGAAAACTACTCTACAACAATAAGGTAGTTAGGGAACTATTGCTAATTAGTGTCTGTTATACATTATTGAGTCGAGAGGATCCAGCGTGTTTTGCTACTCGGCTACGAAGAACGTTGCAGTAACCAAAGTTTTTTTTTTCCTTTTTTAGAATAGCACAACCTCCTCCTTAAGATTAGCTATAATAGCAACCTCATACTCTTTTAAACAACATTCAACGTTTAAAATCCCAGTATCCACAAAGTATTTGGTATTACTGTCACTTTGTAACAGTGAACATAGAAGTCGACACTTAGAGGCGACAGTCTGTTTCATGCTAGATGCAATCGTCAGGCCACCTGACGATCGCATATAGTATGAAACAGACTGTCGCCTCTAAAGTGTTGGTTTGTTTGTTTTTATTAATAAGGCTTGCATTATTTTTAGCCTTTTTTGCATGTAGATGATGATATTATATTAGTGTTGTCGACAAGTATGTTACAAATAGTGTCCGGTAGGTCTCCATGAATATTTAAATTAGATCTAACAATTAGATCTCATTTAAATATTGTCGGACTTTGTCCATTTCATAATATATATATATATATATATATATATATATATATATATATATATATATATAAATATATATGTAACTATCTCTCTTTCACATTTATCACATATATATATATACATAAAGATATATATATATATATATATATATATATATATATATATATGAAAATGAGTGAGAAAGAAAGTCCGAGATAGATAGATAGATAGATAGAGATAGATAGATAGATAGATAGATAGATAGATATCATAAGATAAAGATGAGAATGTAGTGGAGATGTAAAGCAGGGAGAAAAATCAAGATGAGAGAAAGAGAGAGCGGCGCAGAGAGATGGAAAGAGAAATATGAGAGTGTTAGAGAGGGGGAGAAGAATAAAGTTGAGAGGGCAGAAAAACATGAGAGAAAGAGAAAGAGTGAAAGAGGACAAATGGAAAGATAAAAATGTAACAGAGAGGCTGAGAGGGATGAAAATGAGTGAAGTAAAGAGATAGAGAAAGAATGGTAAATATGAAAGAGAGAGAGAGAGAGAGATTGGGAGAGGGATAAAGCTAACAAAGGCAGAGAGGCGGTAGGAAATATATAAAGATGATAGAGAGAAAGTCGGATATGTGAATAAGAGGGAATGAAACAGAGAACGAATGATAAATATTAGAGCGAGAGAGAGAGAGAGAGAGGCGGAGGGTTAAAG